CCTGGCCTTTGTTTCTAAACCTTTCCATCTCCAGTCTTTTTCCCTTACTGATTCCCTATACCTTATCATTAACAATAACCACAATGCCTCCATAACCTCATTTTTAAATGTTTCATTCACAAACCACCATCTCCCATCTCTCTAGTTCATTCCATTTACTATCCTAACTATAAAATTCTGTTGAGCCCACAGTCATCTAAATTCCTTGCTTTTTGTTATATATATTTACTATTTTGTGCCTACCTAGTTTCACTGGTGCCATAGAAGAAGTACATGAAGATGAAAGACTAAGGACATTAGCAAAAATGTCAGTCTGAAAATTTTCTTCTCCATAAAAGCAATAAGAGCACCAGCATAAATGGTCAAAATTAACTTTTTCAAAATTCTAGAAATTAATTAAAGGCTTATGGAAACCCTGAAAACATTTAAGATAACTAGATGAATCTAGGCATGAGCAGTGAGCTTCATGATATTTTAATTTTTCCTATTTGCATACCCTCCCCTCCCCAGCATCATGGTAATCTTGAAATCCAATAGCCTGCAATCATGGTAAAATCCAGTAGCCTAAGAACCACCAAAGGGAGTAGAATGGGGCTAAAGGCCCTTCAAAGTTCCATTATCAGAGAATAGTCATTTTTTGACCTGTTCGGTGGTTTTCTAGAAGAACCACTATCAAAGCTTTCTTTATTTAACCTAACATGAAGCTCAAATCCTGAAGAAGTGGAAAACAATTGAGAAAAAGAATAGGCTAACCAAAAAGCCTAAGAAAATCTTGGGAATAAGACATCCAAAGGGGGCTTTGGAAAGCTCTGATATATTTTGGGGACTCTAGAAGGTCATAGACATGCACATAGGGCTGTGCACATGTCTGGGGCTATGGAAATGCCCTAAAAACACCTGAGAAAATGCTTAGCTCTTACTTCTCGCTAACTTTGAGGTTCTGTAGAAGGAGGAGGTAAAGGCTAAATCATGGTTGTTAACTGCCTGTCAGAGTGTTGAAGAAATGCAGTCCATCAAGCACACTAATATACAGACAATGGAAAGGATAGAGAGAGAATATTTGAAGAAACAGTGGCTGAAAATGTGTCCAAGAACTCCAAATAAGATGAATTCAGAGATCCATGCTTAGATCCATAATAATTGATTGAGCTATTGAAAACCTAAGGCAGAAAAAAATCTTAAAAACATCAGAAGAGAGGAAACATCACTTAAAGGGTGCTTAATGAGAATAAAACTGATTTGTCATCAGATATCATGGAGAACAGAAGACAGAGGAATAGCATATTCAAAATGCTAAAAGAGAAAGACTGTCAACCAAGAATCTGTATCTAACCAAAGTATTCTTCGAAAATAAAAACAAAGAAATTTAGACAATACCAGATGAACAAAAGCTAAGCATTAACTAACTTGGCTATTCCTATAAGAAATGCTGAATGAATCTTTCAGCTGATATGAAGAAACACTAGAAAGTAACTTTAATTCACATAAATAAATGAAGACAGCTGGTAAAAATAACCGCATCGGTAAATATAAAATACAGGTTAAACATATTCTTATTTGTAAGGGTTTCTTTTCTATTTGATTAGAAAACTGCATACATCAATTATAATTGTGCGTTGATGTGTATTTGATGTGTAAAGAAGTTATGTGACAATAGCACAAAGAAAGGTGATGAAATGATCTATATAGGAATAATTTTTTGTATACTGGTTGAAATTGATTGAAATAAACTAGATTATTTCAAATTAAGGTCATTGCTATAATCCCGGGGGTTAAACACTAAAAAAAAAAAATTAGAAGTATAGTAAAGAAAATAAGGTGTTTAAAATGGTACACTTGAAAATATATATTTAACACAAGGCAATAATGAAAGAGATAGGAAACACAAAATTAGGAAAATAAATGCAAAATAGCAGATGTAAATCCTACCTTATCAGTAATCCCATTTGTACTAAATTCGCAAATTAAGAAGCAGAAGTTAGCAAAATGGATAAAAGAAACCATGATGCTACTACATGTTGTCTGCAAGACATATACTTTACATCAAACACAAAAATAGGCTAAAAGTCAAGGTAAAAAAGAAATACCATATAAACAGTAACCAAAAGAGAGCTGGAGTGGGACTAGACTAATATCAGACAGAATAGACTTTAAGATATACATGTTACTAGAAATGAGCAATATTTTATAATGATGAGACAGTTCATTCAAAAATATACAATAATTATATAAGCACCTAACAAGCCCCAAAATACATGAGGTAGAAAATTTTGAATTGAAGGGAGTAATAGAAAATTTGACAATAATAATTTCAGACTTCAGTATCTCAATTTAAGCAATGGATAGAACCAGACAGATGATCAACAAGAACACAGAAGACTTGAACAACAATATAAACAAAGTAAATACAAAGTATCTATAGAATAGTCCACCCAGCCACAGTAAAATAAATGCTCTTCTCAGGTGCTCCTGAATACTTTTCAAGATAGAGTCTATATTAGGCCACAAAATAAGTTTCAATAAGTTTACAATGATTGAAAACACAAAAAGTATGTTATCCAAGTACAATAAAATCAGTAACAAGGAAACTTGGAAAATTCAATAGCATGTGGAAGTTAAACCACATACTCCTAAACAACCAATAAGTCAAAGAAAAAAATCACAAGGGGCATTCAAACACTTCGAGATGAATGTAAACAAAATAGCATGCCAAAATTATGGGATGCAACTAAAGTAGTACTTAGAGGGAAATTCACAGCTGTAAATAACTCAATTAAAGAAGACAGACATTTCTCTGAAGAATATATACAAATGGCCAATAAGCCATGAAAAGATAGTCATCATGATTTATCATTAGGGAAATATAAATAAAAACCAAATGATTTTATCACCTCATACCCACTAAGATAAAGTTTTAAAAGGCAATAATAGGTGTTAGAGAGAATGTGGAGACACTAGAAAGCTCATACACTTTGGGTAAGAACAAAAAATGATACAGCCAGTTTGGTGAACAGTTTGGCAGTTCCTCAATGAGCTAAATGTAGAGCTACTATATGATCCACAGTATTTTACTCCTATCTGGAAGTTTACTCAAGAGAAATGGAAATAAATGCCCATACAAAAACTCATCTATACATGTTCATCTCAGTATTATTAATAATACTCAAAGCGGAAATGACTCAATGACTATCAATTAAGAAATAAATGAGACCTGATATATTGATGCAAGGAAAAGTCAGCCATATAAAGGGATAGAGCACGGGTTCATGCTCTACATGGATAAATCTTGAAAACATCCTAAGTAAATAAGATCAGACACAGAAAGCTACTCATTTTATTTGTATTAAATGTACTGAATATGCAAATCAATAGGGGCAAAAAGGTAGATTAGTGGCTGCTAAGGGCTGGGGAGTAGGTACAATGGAGACTACTAATGATTACGAGGTTTTTTTTTGGAATGATGAATATATTCTAAAATTATTGGTGTTGAAACAACTTTGAGAATATTCTAAAAGCCACTGACTTTAAAAGGATACACTTTAAAAGCATAAATTTTGGGATAAACTAACAATTTCTCAAAAATGAGACGTTAATTCTGGTTGGGAAAAATATAAAAGACTTCATTGTTAGGGCACATTCACAGCAGAGCTAGATCATGAACACTGCAAACAAGGAGACATTGTTATGGCATGGAAGAAAGGAACAGAGGCAGGAAAGCATTAAGCACAAGTAAGAAGTTAATGCTTCTATTTTGGGCTGCAAGGTGATATTGGGGAATGAGGTCAGAATTGTTACTTGTGGCTAGTTGGAGAGAAACAACACTGAGCCTCCACGCATGTTACAGGCCAACTATCTATTGCCCCAGCTTTAAAATGAAATTGTGGAGTACATAAAATATTCTCTCAGTGGTGGCCTCAAATTTGCTTTCATTATTCTTTAATCTGTACATCTAGGATTGTCCTGTTGTGAGTTTTCCAGGCCAAAGAGTAAGACTCCTAATCCAAATTTCTCTCAAATCATAAAATATAGACAGCCTCCTGGTTCTATATAATTATGAAGTTAGGTTCATATTTCAGTTTCCAAAATAGCTTTCCAAAGCTGAACTTTGGTAACACCAGTGATAATGTTTGAGCCACACTCCCAAATGCTGGCAGAAAGCCCACAGAAAGCTAAGCCACAGAAAAGTACATTTCCCTAAAGCAGATCCAAATCAAATTAACAATAACGCTTGGTTTACAGTATTTCAGAGAACTCAAGTATTTGGCTGACTAAAAGCATAGGGTTTGTGTATTCCCACTGTAAGAGAGAAATAATAGTAAGGGAAGCCAAGAACACAAGGTATATATTTGGAGGGTTTTGTTTGTTTTAAGTTTTGTTTGTCCATATGCAAATGAAGACCTGGATTTGAAATAAAATATCTTAATGTTCAACTTTCAAGCTGTCAAACATACCTGTAAAATAGCTATTATACTGAAAAAAAAAAAAAAAAAAAAACTCTGATGTCATTTAGTCCATTCTGCTTTTAGACAAAATGACACTTATGCATACTTGTCAGTCTAAATTTAAGCATCTGTTTTAACCCACTCTTTATCTCTCCTTCCACCACCTCATCTTCTAGAAGTGGCTTCACACCCTGTCACCAACTTATTCTGTAATCTTTTAATGTGGCCTCTGGAAGATTGTTTTAATTTATGGTGCTTATCGCTAAAAGGTGTAAGATGGGGCCCACTTAAGTCTTCTTTCTCTCTTATTTCTTTATCAGGACTGATAAAAAGAACTAGAAGTCACTCCTTCCTCCATTCCTCATATTTTGTCCCAATCCCAACTCTTCATACGTGGGGCTCTAAGAATATACAGTGGATTTGTCCTCTTGTTATTTTTATCTATGCTTGGGTTACATGGGGCAATCTAAGCCAATGTGTCTATGTGCCATTCAACTTAACCTCACTTATGGTGAGGGTATAGTTTTAAAAATTCTTTCTTTACCTTTAAAATTTTACTTTCATCTCTCTTCCAGGATGCCTCACTTTCCAGATTCCAAGATGCCTCATTCTCCAGATGCATTCTTATTTATTCACTTCTTTCTCCTGCTCCCTCTCATTCTGTCCCTCTCAGACTACCATCTGGAAAGAAATAACATATGACAGATTTTCAGAAATAACTCAGTGGTCTGAAGGCTGTGCTGATGGTGTGTGAGGATAACCCTGTGCAACTAAAAACCTGTGCATCATGGTGATGGTTTTCCTGGCATTTGCGTCTGCTCTGGCTTCATACCTTAAGGTTCTAATGAGCCATTTCTCAGGTCTATGATCTATACTTTGCTTGCCCCTTAATTGCCACCTTGGGTGAGGGAGTAAGGGATGATTGATTCATACAGCAATTCATATTATTTTAGCTTATTTATCAGCTTTCCACTAATGACTTAATACCTTAGCCACATTGAAAATGCAACTCTCTCCCAGAAGTCATCTCTGATATTGCACCTTTGAAATATATATATTTATATACACACACACACACACACACACACACACACACACACACACACATATATATATACACATATATATATTTAAATATTATCCTCTGAGTATTAACTGAGCATCATCTTAACTTCTCTTATAAATACTCTTAACAGGTATTTATAGCTCTAATAAAGTGATGAACGTAATTTATGAGTATCTATTATCATCTATAAGTTCCCTGAGGCCAAAATTAATGTTTAAATGAGGCTTCTACCCCCATGGTGGCTAATATGACATTTTTTACATCACAGTTAATAAGGATATTTGTTGATGAATAGGTATATAAGTTAGAGGAAACAGGGCATAAAGGAATCCGTATACTAACAATTGATTCCACAATAGAGGACTAAAGGATACAGGTACTGAGAATAGAGTCTGGGGAAAGAGAGGTCCTTAGCACCAAAGTCAAAATTTATGTCCAGAGGCCTTGGGGTAGAGACCTGTGATAATTATGACTTAACTGAAAACAGGAAGAAGCTAACTTTAGCCAACAACCTGGAGAATCCAGGAGCTTGGCTGGCCAGCCTTAGTTTTGAATTAGCATGTTACAGCTAATAAGGTACAGACAAAAAGAGAAATAATTATCAGGTATTTATCACATGCTAGATACTATGATTAATGCCTGACCTCTTCCTCTGCCTTTCATTCGCTCGTTCTCATCCTCATTCTCTCATTTGTTTTTAGCAGAAAGGAAGTCTCATTCCTATTCTAATTAATCAATACTGTGCTATTCAGTATTGTTCTGCTCATCTGAAAGCTTTATAAAGAGTGATGTAAAAGGTTACCTGAGGTTGTAATGTTAATATTTGTGAGGGATAAAAAGTGGAGGAAATAGAATTGGGCAAATCTAACAAGTCTTGGACCACCCAATGGGAAGACACAGAGCAAAGAGGTAACCCATATTGGGCAAAAATGGCCAAATTCTGATAGCCCCATTATACTCAGTCGTTGGCTGGAGACGCAGATGAGGAATGTGGCATCAGCTGGAAAGATGGTGCAGATCCTAATGTTTGGATGGTATCAGCTCACTGTATTTCTTAGAGTTGAATAGCAAGTTCCTTAATAGTGTTCCAAATGGCATGTGTCCCTGGCTGCCATAACCCGTAAATGAGATCTTAGTTGATGTATGTAGACCTTCTAATGACATCATGCTTTCCTGATTCTAGTGTACTGCCTCATAGATTCATAAATCATTATAACTAGAAGTGACCATGAAAAACATCTAGTCCAATAATTTACAAAACACATTCCAGATAGTTCCTGATTTTCCTCAAAGATGCCTCATGAATCACTGTAGGAATCATAAAAGAAGAGAGGGCAGCAATTCCTGTAACCTTCCTCCCTAATATAGTGTCTTCACTTTCTTGTGCTAGAGATATGGTCTTCCATGCAAGATTCCATTTAAAAAGTAGTCTCTGCTACTGATAGATTCAAGAGTGTAAAAAAATCACTGATATTTGGCAGTGAACATAAGGGGTTTATAACTTTTCAGAGATTAATAGTTTCATAGTATGTACCAGGAACTACACATAACCCAAAGTCAGTCTTGTCTATACCATAGTCGCATACCTGGGAATAGCCATAGAAGAAGAATACCTAGAGACCAATGAAGAGAGTCTGGTTGAGAATGGGGATGGGGTTTCCTAAAGGTTATAGGGTAACTAGGGGCAGGAATAGGACACCAGTGGCCTGGTCCCCTGAATCCCCGTGCAGTATTCTTTTCACTCTGTCATTATGCGCGTATGATTGAGCAAACCAGACAAAACTCTCAAAGTACTATAGATGCCACTGAGAGAGAACTGTCAAAGATCATTAGTGTCCACATTAAAAAATTAAAATCAGTATGTTGAAGGGATATCTGTACTCCCATGTTTATTTCAGCATTATTTATAATAGGCAAGATGCAAAAGCAATCTAAGGGTCCAACAATAAAAGAATTGATAAATGTCTTCTTTTGAAAAGTGTCTGTTCATATCCTTTGCCCACTTTTTGATGGGGTTGTTTATTTCTTGTAAATTTGTTTAAGTTCTCTGTAGATTCTGGATATTGGCCCTTTGTCAGATAGGTAGATCGAAAAAGTTTTTTCTCATTCTTTTGGTTGCCAGTTCACTCTATTGATAGCTTCTTTTGCTGTGAAGAAGCACTTAAGTTTAATTAGATCCTATTTGTCTCTTTTGGCTTTTGTTGCCATTGCATTTTGTGTTTTAGTCATGAAGTCCTTGCCCATGGCTATGTCCTGAATGGTATTGCCTAGGTTTTCTTCTGGGGTTTTTATGGTGTTAGGCCTCATGTTTAAATCTTTAATCCATTTAGAGTTAATTTTCATATAAGGTGTAAGGAAGGGCTCAAGTTTCAATTTTCTGCACATGGCTAGCCAGTTTTCCCAATACCATTTATTAAATAGGGAATCCTTTCCCCATTGCTTGTTTTTGTCAGGTTTGGCAAAGATCAGATTGTTGTAGATGTGTGGCGTTCTTTCTGTTCTGTTCCATTGGTCTATATCTCTGTTTTGGTACTAGTATCATGCTGTTTTGATTACAGTAGCCTTGTAATATAGTTTGAAGTCAGGTAGCGTGATGCCTCCAGTTTTGTTTGTTTGGCTTAGGATTGTCTTGGCTATGCAGGCTCTTTTTTGGTTCCATATGAAGTTTAAGGTGGTTTTTTCAAATTCTGTGCGGAAAGTCATTGTTAGCTTGATGGTGATAGCACTGAATATGTAAATTACTTTGGGCAGTATAGCCATTTTCACAATATTGATTCTTCCTAACCATGAACATGGAATATTTTGCCATCTGTTTGTTTCCTCTCTTATTTCCTTTACATCCCACAAACATATGAAAAAAGGCTCATTATCACTGCCCATTAGAGAAATGCAAATCAAAACCACATTGAGATACCACCTCATGCCAGTTAGAATGGTGATCAATAAAAAATCAGGAGACAGATGCTGGAGAGAATGTGTAGAAAAAGGAACACTTTCACACTGTTGGTGGGAGTGTAAATTAATTCAAGCATTGTGGAAGACAGTGTGGTTCCTCAAGGATCTAGAAACAGAAATACTATTTGATCCAGCAATCCCATTACTGAGTACATATCCAAAGGTTTATAAATCATTTTATTATAAAGACACATGCACATGTATGTTTATTATGGCACTTTTCACAATAGCAAAGACTTGGAACCAATGCAAATGCCCATCGATGATAGATTGGATAAAGAAAATATGGCACATATACACCATGGAATACTATGCAGCCATAAAAAAGGATGAGTTCATGTCCTTTGCAGGGATATGGATGAAACTGGAAACCATCATTCTCAGCAAACTGACACAAGAATAGAAAAGCCAACACCACATGTTCTTACTCATAAGTGGGTATTGAACAATGAGAACACATGGGAACATCACACACTGGGGTCTGGGAGATGAGGGGCTAGGGGAGGAATAGCAGGGGATGGGAGGATGGGGGAGGGATAGCATTTGGAGAAATACCTAATGTAGGTGATGGGGCAATGGATGCAGCAAACCACCACCATGGCACGTGTATACCTATGTAACAAACCTGCAAGATCTGCACATGTACCCCAGAACTTAAAGTATAATTAATAATAATAATAAAAAAGCCCAGAAATAATTAAAAACAAAAAACCAACAGGCTACTAGTACAAGAACAGACACAGAGGCCAATGGAACAAAATAGAGAACTGAGAAATAAGACTTCACATCTACAACCATCTGATCTTCAACAACCTGACAAAAGCAAGCAATGGGGAAAGGATTCTCTATTTAATAAATGGTGCTGAGAGAACTGGCTAGCCATATGCAGAAAATTGAAACTAGACCTCTTCCTTGCATGCTGTGCAAAAAGGAATTCAAGATGGTTTAAAGACTTAAATGTAAAACCCCAAACTATAAAAATCCTAGAAGACAATCTAGGCAATACCATTCAGGACACAGGCACAGGTAAAGATTTCATAATGAAAATGCCAAAACAATTGCAACAAAGCAAAAATTAACAAATAAGATCAAATTAAAGAACTTCTGCATAGCAAAACAAATAAACAAACAAACAAACAAAAAAACGATCATCAGAGTTAACAGGCAACCTAAAGAATGGAAAAAAAATTTTGTAATCTGTCCATCTGACAAGGGTCTAATATGCAGAGACTGCCAGGAACTTAAAAGAAAATGTACAAGAGAAAACAGACAACCTCATTAAAAAGTGGGCAAAGGACATGAACACATATTTCTCAAAAGAAGACATTCATGTGGCCAAGAAACGAAAAAAAGCTCAACATCATTGATCATTAGAGAAATGTAAATCACAACTACAATGAGATATCATCTCATGCCAGTCAGAATGGCAATTATTAAAAAATCTAGAAACAACAGATGCTGGCAACACTGTGGAGAAAAAGGAACACTTTTATACTGTTGGGAGTGTTCAGTTAGGTCAACCATTGTGAAAGACAATATGCAGATTCCTCAAAGATCTAGGGGCAGAAATATCATCTGACCCAGCAATCCTATTACTGGGTATATGCCCAAAGGAATATAAATCATTCTATTATAAAGACGTATGCATGGATATGTTCATTGCAGAACTATTCACAATAGAAAAGACATAGAATCAACTCACATGCCCATCAGTGATAGACTGGATAAAGAATATGTGGTACATATACACCATGGAATACTATGCAGCCATAAAAAGGAAAGAGATCATGTCCTTATGGGGCTGGAAGCTGTTATTCTCAGCAAACAAATGCAGAAACGGGAGCTGGATGATAACATATGGACACATTGGGGGGAACAATGCACACTGGGGCCTGTTAGGGGTTGGGGGAGGGAGAGCATCAAGAAGAATAACTAATGGATGATGGGCTTATTACCTAGGTGATGGATTGATCTGTGCAGCAAACCACCATGGCACACATTTACCTATGTAACAAACCTGCACATCCTGCACATGTACCCTATAACTTAAAATAAAAGTTGAAGAAAATAAAAGAATTAGTAAAGAAAATGTTTATATATATATGCTGTGTGTATATATGTGGTATATATACACATACCATTATGTATGTGTGTGTATATATGTATATACATAATGGGATATTATACATCCTTTAAAAAGAAGATTCTGTCATTCATGACAATATGAATGAAACTGGAGGACATTATGCCAAGTGAAATAAGCCAGGCACAGAAAGACAAATACTATATCATCTCACTTACATGTGGAACCTAAAAATGTCAATCTCATAGAAACAGAGTAGAAAAGCTACCAGAGGCTGAGGGGAAAGGAGAGAGATGGGAAAAAGGGAGATGTTGATCCAAAGGTACCATGTTGCAGTTGGACTAGAGTTTTAGTGATCTATCGGACTCCATGGTGACCACAGTTAATAATAATGCATTGTACATTTTGAAACTGTTAAAAAAATTGGCTTTTAAAATGTGGTTTGTATATATCATGGAATACTACTCAGCCATAAAAAGGAACAAAATAATGGCATTTGCAGTAACCTAGATGGAATTAGAGACCATTATTGTAAATGAAGTAACTCAGAAATGGAAAACCAAACATGGTATGTTCTCACTGATAAGTGGGAGCTAAGGTATGAGGACACAAAGGCATAAGGATGATACAATGGACTTTGAGAACTCGGGGGAAACGTGGGAAGTGGGGTGAGGGACGGAAGACTACACATTGGGTACAGTGCACACTGCTCGGGTCATGGGTGTACCAAAATCTTAGAAGTCACCACTAAAGAACTTATTCATATAACTAAATACCACCTGTTCCCAAAACTTATGGAAATAAAAAAAAAGTTTACCATGAAAAAAATATAGGCTTTTAATGTTCTCAATCACAAAACAATAACTTGTTAGGGTGATAAATGTTAATTAGTTTGAATATTTCTATAATGTATACACAGATCAAAATATGTCATTATACTGTATAAGTATACAGTTGCTCGTCAATTAAAAATTAGTTTAAAAATTCTCATCACATCACAGTCCCTGGACTGGAATTCTTTTTACAGAAAACTTTGTGAGATGCCACAATACAATGAACAAATGAAAGCTGAGCAGCTCTGATTACAATTGGGGTTGGGGGTTAGTCCATGTCAGAGGCTTCCCACCCTATTTGGCCTTTCCTCCTCTTCTCCTCCCACATTATGGTCACCCCTGAGCACCTCAGTAGAGCTCTTGGCCTCTAAGTGACATGATTTAATAAAGAGGAATGTGCTGAGACTCAGAACAGCACAGTCACTTGCAGTGTTATAAGTGGATTAGTCATAAAATGAGCTGACTCATCATCCCAGCCCACAATAAGACACTACCTTTGAAAGCCAACTTCTATCCTTTAAAACTAGACATCTTAGAAAGTTTTGGGCTGAGAAATTATTCTCTCCTGTGCTATAAGTTTGAACCTGAATGCAACCAGTGATTGGAAAGTATTCATGGGGTTCAGGTCAATGTTAGGAAATTCATTTCCAAATATACACTAATATGGAGAGAGGACTGCTATCACTCTGGAGCAGCTGATGCTGCAAATCAGTCACCTGACAAAGCAATTTACATCTGTCAAATGCCTGCCTACTTCCAGGAGCAGGTAATGGGCTCTTGGCTCACTAAGGTGGCAAGAAGTACCACATTGTGGAATGAATTCAATTACCTGCTGAAATGTCTATTTTGACTCCCCCAACTCTGTTGTAGAGAATGAATTTAAATTCCTCTATCTCATTAGCAAGGTGGGCTATTGACCATTCCTTCAGAATGGGTCTCCATTTAGAGAGTTGTAACATACAACCCTGGAAACTAGAAAAACAGTCCCCAAGCCACAGTGAGGACCTGCCCCTGGGCTTCCCATTGGCCACGCTCCACATGAGGACTGCTACCTGCTCTGAGACCTAGGCTGTCTCAGTCCCCCCAGTCACATCACTTCCATCAGCTGGTGCTGAGAGACACACTCAGGAAAATTTTATTGGGAGCTTCTCAGTCCCTTGAGGCAGAAAATACAATTAGATATCCACGCCTTCCAAATGCACTACTGCATGCAGTCAGTCAAGTGAATCACTGGGCACTTTTAATCAGTCATTTCATGGGGAAGGCCCCAGGAATGAGGCCTTCGGTAGTGTCAGATTTTCAGGAAGGAGGCATAGAAAACACTCTTGGCAAAGCAGCCAAGGCTCTGTGGGCCCAGGCTCTGCTAGATATGCAGTCCAGGATAAAGTAAGCACAATTTGAAAGGACTTCACAATTTACAAAGCACAGGTGCACTCATTATCTGAGGTTCTAAACAAATCTATGAGGTAAAGCTAGAAGGAGGTATTCTTCATTTTTTAGGTTGTATTTTAAAAAATTGAATTCATAACTTAAATAGTTAGCAACTATTTAAGTTGCTAACCCAATTCCATACAGTTATTGGCAAAGCTGAAACTCAAAGCAGTGCTTTGTGATTCCAAGTCCCATGTTGTTGGCATTTTCTTGCAAGATGCTTAACACGCACAATTATCAGTAACAGCAGCAGCTAACATTTCATGAAGTACTATATGGCAGGGCCCTGCACAATGCTTTTGCTGTGCTGTCTTCACAGACATCCTGTAAGATGGGTACTGACACATCCCTGTGAAGCACAGTGAAGCTGAGAGTGACTGTAATCTGCTGAAGGTTACCTGTCTCCAGGCTGCAGCACTCTATGGGGCAAATTTGTCTTCACCTATGCTGCTAAACTTTCTTAACTTCAGGGAAATTGGGATGATACACACGTATAGTTTCTCCCTTCTATCTCTAAACCTTACATAACTTTGCGAAAGTCTCTCAGTGGCCCTAAAGAGGTACCTAGAAGGCTGAGGAGATGATAAAGGGTAAGCCTGGAAATATGGTTATAATTATGCTTCAGTTAAAAAGTTAACAAGTGTTAGTAGTAATGACAAGAATCCTTTTCTTCTTGTTTCCTCCTCTGTTCTACCCCGCCCCCAATCCTGCACAATATCTACCTGGGTGATAATATCACAAAGTTGGAGGGACACAAGTATTACTGTGTTGTGTGTGTCCCTTTGATTTGTGTGATGCATAGCTGAACCCTTCTGTTGCTTGAGAGGGCCCTTTGGTCCTAGCATCTTGGAGTGAGGCAAGAGAAGTCTAGGTAGAAAAAAAGACACAATTTCAGAAGAGAGTGAGACGAAAGCCAAACGTTCAGTGTTCCTGCAGCTGCCTCTCTTTGTCATTTTGAGTGAGGTGGTAATTGAAGGGACCTTGCAATTGTGATGGCTTGAACTGAGCAAGTCAGGTGAACTGTATATCAGTCTAATCCTGTTTCTTTATATTCTGGAAAACAGGCTAGGAAGTAAATTGGGGAAATGATTCAGACTTTTCATAAGTTTTCTGTAATGAGACATTTCTTTCAAAAGGTGTGAGAATAATGGTGAGAAGAAAGCCTTCCTGCCCTTGGGTGTCCTTCCTTTGCTTTGCTTGTTACTTGTCCAAGTCTCATGCCTCCTTCAATATCTTCCAATGCCAAGAAAGCCTTCCTTAACTCTTCCACCCACTCAGAAAACACTATAGCATTGATTGCCAGAACTCAAAACAAGTATTGATTATATACTTACACTGTTTGCTAATTACTTACTCTTGTAGTCTCAACTAAGCCTCAGGATGCTTGAGGGCAATGATATTGTTGTCCTCTTCCCAATGTATCTTATGCCCTTTGCAATTTAGTGGGTCTGTATATGTAGCCATTGATGAACAAACCCGAGTAAGTGCCTGTGAATAGTGATATACATGTAAAACTTTATCCCTCAGTAATACAACGCATATAGGCTCTAAGTACAGAGCACATGTGTTTGTATTTGGGCCAATAACTCTTGGTGAGGGAAAAGAATTTGCAAGTTCACTATTAATAAAATAATTTTAATCTATCCTCAAATCTAATGTTCTCAGAAATAAATAATAAGACTTCTAAATATTTGTAGCATTCAATATTTGTGGCTCACATTTTATTTTCTATACAGTCACACCTCAGACATATGGTAGGTTTGGTTCCAGACCACTGAAACAGAGTGAATATTGTAATAAGGTGTGTCATACAATTTATTTTTTCCCCAGTGCATATAAAAGTTATGCTTACACTATATTTACTCTCCTTGAACATCCCCTTCAGAGGTCTTGGATAACTAGGTGCATTGTCAATGATCAGTAATATTTTGAAAGCATTTTTTCCTGAACAGTTCTCAACAATGAGCTTAAAATATTCATTAAACCATGCTGTAAATGAATATACTGTCATGTAGGCTATGTTTTATTTCTAGAACACAAAGAGTAGATTCAGTATAATTCTTCTCTCCTACCCCTACCTGCAACAGGGAGTCTTACTCTGTTGCCCAGGCTGGAGTGCAGTGGTGCTCAATACAACCTCCAACTCCCAGGTTCAAATAATTCTTCTGCCTCAGCCTCCCAAGTAGCTGAGATTACAGGCATGTGCCACCACATCCATTTAATTTTTGTGTTTTTCATAGAGGCAAGTTTTCACCATATTGGCCAGGCTGGTCTTAAACTCCTGACATTGTGATTCACCTGCCTGAGCCTCCTTAAGTGCTGGAATTACAGGCATGAGCCACCATGTCCAGCCAATTTAGTATAATTCATAAGGACCTTAGGATTTTTGGACTGTTAAAGGACCATTGGCCTCAACTTCAAGTCACCAGCTGCAGTTGCCCTTTACAAGAGACTAAGCCTGACTTTGGAAGCTTTGAAGCCAGGCAGTGACTTCCCCTCTGTATCCATGAAAGTCCTAAATGGCATCTTCTTGAAATACAAGGATGTTTCCTCACCATTTAAAATCTGTTGTTTCATGTAACCACCTTCATCTATTATTTTATCTAGATCTTCTAGGTAACCTGCTTCAGCTTCTACATAGCACTTGCTGTCACAGTGTACTTTTCAGTTATTGAGATGGCTTCTTCTATAAAATATCATAAACTCATCCCTGCTAGGTTCTAATTCTCCTGCAGCTTCTTCAACTCTCAGTCTTTACAGAATTGGAGGTCCTTTCTCTGGATTAGGCTTTGGCTTAATGAAATGTTGAGGTTGGTTTGATCTTCTATACAGACCACTCAGACTTTCTCCATATTAGCAATAAGGCTGTTCACTTTGTTATCATTTGTGTGTTCACTGGAGTAGCACTTTTAGTTTTCTTCAAGAACTTTTCCTTTATATTCACAACTTGGCTGTTTGGCATAAGAGGCCAAGCTTGTGAATATAAAGGGAAAAAGCTGTCAGCTTTTGACATGCCCTTTTCACTAAGCTTCATCATTTTTACTTTTGATTTAAAGTGAGTGGCATGAGACTTTTCCTTTCACTTAAACACTTAGAGGCCATTGTAGAGTCGTTAACTGGCCTGACTTCAATATTGTTGTCCTAGGGAATATGTAGGCCCAAGGAGAGGGGGAGAGAGCGGTAGGGGAAAGGCCAATCTATAGAGCAGTAAGAACACAAATAACTTTTAGTAAGTTTTTTGTCCGCTATAGTCACAGTGGGTAGTGTCTCAAAACAATTATTAACATTAAAGATCACTGATTGCAGGTCACCGTAACAGATATATTTTAAAAGTTTAAAATGTTGTGAGAATTACCAAAATATGACACAGAGACACAAAGAGAGCTCATGCTGGTGGAGAAACTGGCACCAACAAACTTGTTCAAAGCAAGATTGTCACAAAACTTTAATTTGTAAAAAAATGTCATATCCACGAAGCCCAATGAAACAAAGTGCAATAAAGCAAGGTAGGCCCACACTTAGGGAGCTTGCCTGAGTAAATGCTATATCCTAGTCCAACTAGCTCCAATTAAAAAAGAAGTACCTAGTCAAATAAACTGAAAAAGTAGCTTAAAATATATATTTTTGAACATTAAATCAACCAAAAGCAATATATTGTGGGTTAATTTGTGCCTACAACTGGAGGAGAAAAGTCCCCGCTAGACTTAACAAGTATTTTAAATTTCTCAAGGCAGAAGCCATTAAGAAAACTCTCAATAAACTAGGTATCAATGGAATGTATCATAAAATGATAAAAGCTATATATGACAAACCTACAGCCAATATCATACTGAATGGGCAAAAGCTGGAAGAATTCCCTTTGAAATCAGGCACTAGACAAGGATGCCCTCTCTCACCACTCCTATTCAATATATTATTGGAAGTTCTAGCCAGAGCAATCAGGCAAGAAAAAGAAATAAAGGGTATTCAATTAGGAAAGGAGGAAGTCAAACTATCTCTATTTGCAGATGACATGATTGTATATCTAGAAGACCCCATTGTCTCAGCCCCAAATCTTCTCAAACCGATAAGCAACTGCAGCAAAGTCTCAAGATACAAAATCAGTATGCAAAAATCACAAGCATTCCTATACACCAATAACAGACAAACAGAGAGCCAAATCAAGAGTGAGCTCCCATTCACAATTGCTACAAAGAGAATAAAAGATCTAGGAATACAACTAACAAAGAATGTAAAGGACTTCTTTAAGGAGAACTACAAATCACTGCTCAATGAAATAAGAGAGGACACAAACAGATGGAAAAATGTTCCATTCTCATGGTTAGGAAGAATTAATATCATGAAAATTGCCATATTGCCCAAAGTAATATGCAGATTCAACACCATCTCTATCAATCTACCAATGACCTTCTTGACAGAACTAGAAAAAACCACTTTAAACTTTATATGGAATCACAAGAGAGCCCACATAGCCAAGACAACCAACAGAATAGGAAAAAATTTTTGCAGTCTACCCATCTGACAAAGGGCTAATATCCAGAATCTACAAATAACTAAAACAGATGTACAAGAAAAAAAAAATCAAAAGTGGGTGAAGGGTAGGAACAGACACTTTTCGAAAGAAGACATATATGAGGCTAACAAACATATGAAAAAATGCTCATCATCACTGGTTATTAGAGAAATGCAAATCAAAACCACATTGAGATACCATTTTATGCCAGTTAGAATGGTGATCGTTAAAAAATCT